TTAGTGGTACAACCACTTTAATTTGGTGTTGAAATAATTGATATGGTCTCATTACAACCGGAGATATTTGTATTTCAGTAATCAAACTTTTCAAAGTAAATTTTTAAAGAGATTTTTTACTACATTCTTGGATTCAGCGCACAATTTTACATAAGAATCATTGGTTAAAGATTCAAGCTCATTTTTAAACGTTTATTTGTAAACTAGCGTAATCTGAGAACCACCCTTATTTTATTACCGACCAAAAAAAGGATCTTTTTAAGTTGAAAAAGTTCACACTAAAAGTTTAGACAAAAGCACTAGGCTTTTTGTCTTGCTAAATTCTTATCATGAACAACTATGCATTCGGCCAAGGAACATTCGGCCTAGTGGCATTCAGCCTAGAGGAATTTGACCTAATGACCCATCACAGTGAACGCGGTAGCCTCTAGCGCTGTGGATATGCATCCTACAGATTTGCAGTCTTGGACAAAGTTATTCAGTTTATTAAAGGTCAACTTTTGGTGTTTTCTGATAAGTTCGTATTCCTGCCGCATAGGTGGCACTATCTATTAAATGGAGGGTCCTAGAAGGATCCGGTGAAGTTGTGAATTTTATAGTTTTGAGAAGTGTTGTCGAAGACAACAAAGACCTGTGACTCACTTAAAGAGAAATTTCGGCCTACTAAGAGAACTTAGCAAAACAAGGCGTTTTCATCGTGTTTTTAAAGTATAGGCCACGTCCATCTTCTCCGTTAGGGGAAAGGACAGATATTGTTGATGTAACATCTACTTTCGGGAGACCAGCGACGCCGTAGATACTACGGAGTTGGATAGTTGGGTAGGACTGGGTCAGGATTCGCTTAAGCAGGCGATGCGATCATAGCAATTGTTTTATTTTGGAGGAGCCTGGAGTAAACCCACAGTCTTCTACTCAGTAGGCAAAAGCGGCATCCACCGAGCTAGCCGAGTTCCTGAATTTAAATGTTGGGACCTTATTTTGTAAATTTCTTAAGAATACTGATTGAAATAAAATGAAGTAAATAAAAATTAAGAGCCTCATCCGAATCAAATGATTTCAGAAATCAATCTCACCAAATCAGTTCAAGTGAATGAATCCTGAGCAAGTAGTTCTGTCGCGTTTAGCAGTAGAAGTTCCGATCCTTACGGGGATCAATCGCCTGGTCGGATGTAATCGATTGCTCCAAGTTTAAGTGGCCAATTATCAGATTCAGCACTCCAATTTGCATCTCCTTGACGCGAACACGAAACCGATGGGACGTCCGATGAAGGTTCCTCCTCACTTTCGAAACTACTTGTCAACGGCAAGCCGCAGGGACGTAGAACGAGTATGCGTTCGGGGACGCGATGCGTTAGTATTTCACTCTCTTTAAACTTCTAAATGTACAACTTGGTGTACATTAATAACTATGAATAAATTTGTCTTTCTATTTCTGCACTAATTTGAGTAAATGACATTTTTGTACACAACTAGTTTGAAATAATCTAGAAAATACTTTTATCAACATTAATTAGACACCGCAAAATTAAAAAAAAAAAAAAACTTGTTAAATTTCATCAGTTTGATAAAGTTATACGTATTAACTTTAGACTTTTCAGCTGAAAACGTAAAAAAATGTGATAATTATATTTGTGAAGATTTTTGTAATATCCTATATCTCACTTTCTTCGACAACATTTCTCAAAACTATAAAATTCCAAACTTTGCCGAAGAATCTATCCTTGTAGGAAACTCCGTTCAAAAACTAGATTCAAGCGCCACCTATGCGGCAGGAATACGAACTAATCGGAGACCACCAAAAGCTGCCTCTTTATAAACTAAACAACTTTGTCCAAGACTGCAAATCTGTACGATACATTCACACAGCACTAGAGGTTTTGGCCACTCTACCGGGATCGTTGCCCCACTTTGCATCACCGTGGCCAGTATCCGGGTCATCCGCAATCTAGTTCTAGGGACTACTTTTCACTCCAACAGAACATGGGCATGCAGCACATCAATTAGCACTAATTTCCAAAGGCGAGTACGATGGAGCCGATGGTTTAGTAGTCAGTGTAACTGCTTTCTCTCCCCCCAGTGTGTCTGGGTTCAATCCCAGCCGTGGTCGTTGGTGTTTTTCTGAGATGAAAAAAATCTTTGGTCACGTCTTCCTTCGAAAGGAGCTCCGGCCCATGAGTTGATGGGTGCGATATCTACCCAGGTTTGGAAGCCGTCTCCCTGGCATTTGATTGCCGTAAATGGATGAACAATCGATAGAATCCACAAATAACCGCTATCTAAAATCAGCCGTGATAGCGAACATTTCTGGATTCTATAAATGATCCACGCACCGATGAATGTCATCGCATAATGAAATTGATATCGTCAAGAGAACTTTTCCTAGGTAACCCCAACAGTAACCGGATTAAAAGTGCAAACCCTTTTATGCTGCGGTGTTGCCGCCGCACCGTCTCGTTAAATAAAAACTTTCACGGGATTGGAAAGCATCCTCCCCCAAAAAGGATCCCACTGCGATAGCTCGGTTCTTCTCCCTGTCCGGCTCAGTTGCCAGGCTAATTATCTTTTAATGGTCCACATCCGAGTATGGTACATGGTGTACGTTTGTTGTAACCACCGACCGCCCAGCACTGAATATGTTCCTACTGTGATCAAACGCACAGGAGGGTAGATTAAGTATGCCACCATAATCCCCTCCGGGAGGATACTTTTTGTGATACACATACAGTGGGGCCTTTTTTTTAATTGCTAGAAACAGTTGTTATGTGAAAACAAATATCGCGTTGCTTTGTAGACTATTGGGTTTAAAAACTTTCAATACTTCTATCTGCTATTGAATTACAACTTTTTAATTCAGCACCTAAGATATTATTTATTATACCTGAGATGCTCTACACTCTTCTTAAAATTACCACAACAATCGAGACATAAAATCAGGTTCAACAGAGCAAGAACCCCATTTGCGACTGCCAAACCGATAATCACTTTTAATTGCTGTCGTCGGAGCCCTCATTTCGGTTCATATTTTTTGCCAAATTCAATTTACCTCATGAAATTTTCCATTTATTGACATTACACTTCCACTCGACCGCCTTCTGCCATGGTTTCGATGATCATAAAAATGTTTCACTAGCACGACAGCTTGCTTTACCACCCTCAACGTCTCTCTCATTTGACCACGTGTCGGGTTTTCTTCACTATACACAGCAACCGGCGTCGACAATTTGCAGCGCAGCAATATTATTGGCATTCCATCCCTTCTTCTCAACCACCCCCACCTCGGCGAAGCAAGTTACAACACCAAACTGACCTCCTGCCCGGGAAGCTACAAGACATTTTGACATTCCGAGTAAAATTTAATTGGAAACTATTTGCCACGCCAACAACCAACGGAGAGAGAAATAGCTTCAGCTCGAGCTTTCATTGCTTCCCATTCTTTCTCATTTTACTGACTGGCACCAGCACTCACTTCTTGAAGTTGTAATTTCTCGCTTTTGTTTAATTTCCCATCCGTTTGCCGAGCGGAACGCTTCCGACCACTTCCCCTCTGCCCACGGAGCTTTGCCTTTTTTCCGAGGAGCGACAGCCAACAGTAGCACTGTCGGTAGATGTGACCTTCGATTGTTTGCTTCTGCTCCGTTTCAAGGCACTGAAAAACTCGAGGAAAAAAAACGGGCCAAAAATTGCAGTTGATGGAATTCTAATTCATGTTGGCCGGAATGCTTTTCTTCAGTGTTTTTCGTCTGAGGACAACTGAGATTTCAATATAAAAAAAAATATATTTAGGTTAAGAAAATCATATGCAGCATCACAGACAAATATACTTTAAACTTAGCTTTAGATTGAAGCAATAAATTTATGATTCGTTTCTGTTACTATTTGTTTAAGTTCCATTTACAATTTTACCCCTCCTGCTTGCCTTCCTCTCTCCAAAGTCCACATACTAGAAATTTCCAACACTCATCTAGCTCTAGCGAAAGCTGTTGCCTTCGACCTTCTCGCCCCCTTCCAACCAAACAATTTGATAACACATTTCATTTCTTCAAACATCCCCCTCCCCTCTAAAGAAACAACTTTTCATTTTAATTTAATTTTCCGTTTTATTTATCTTTTATTTACTTCCATGTTTTCGTTTCGCAACACGTCGCTTTGGACCGAACCGTGTCTGTCGATCCGTCGTTCCTGACCGTTATTGTTTGCACTTGTTGTTATTGTTGTTGTCGGTATCATTGGCCCGTTTTATCCGGATCGTTTGGAATTCCCGCGCTGACAAGCAGGACCGGAACCGATGCCTTCGGAGCTGGCCGAGAAGGCGGAACTGCCGAGCTTCGTCATATTCTGCATCGCCCTCGCCGGCCTCTGCCTGCTGGTGGTGAATGCCGGCCTCGTTGCGTGGTTTATCATTAAAAAGCGAGCTAAAGGTAAATTACGTTATCATTCTTTTTTTTTAGTTTATTTTCTTTTCAATTTAGGTTCAATTTCTCATTTCCGGGCTGGGGAAAACGCGCGTTTTATCACGTTTCGAATATGTATTCCTTCCTGCTTCCGTCGTTTGTCGTTGTTGTCATCTGGCACTTGCGTTATGGTTTCCATATTTTCTAATTATTTGCGCGGATGTGCGTTGCCGTAAATAAGTGACGCTAGAAACGAAGGCCTACTGTGCTCTCACCCCGGTGGTCGCTCGCTATGTATTCACGTACCAAATGGAATTAAGTGCTTTTCGGTTTTCGACTTTTCGGACGACACGTTTTGACTGTCCATTAGGGGACGCTTTGCCATGGAATTAATTTTGCTTATTTTCCAGCGACGGATAGCATTTTTTTTTTCTTCTCGGCATTCATTAAATAATTAATGCGTTTTTTCTCTTGTGCTAATCGAGTTTAGCGACGGATACGAGCAAATCATGAAAGGAACACGAGAATTTCACACATACCTTAGCCGAACATATTTCTCATAATGCATTCTTTCTCATTCTCCACCCCTATTGCAAATCGAAAAATCAGATTCATCCAATCAGAACAGCAAATCCGCCACCATTGAAATGTACGCCCCAAGCTCATACAATGACACCGTTACAGGTGAAACCCTGTCCAGTGTGTCGGAGAAGAGTGACTCCTACTCGAACGATGGCAGTCAGCCTGACTATATGGTGAGTACCGGCCTTGATCCACGTCGCCGAACAACACTAACGCCATCTTTCGCCAACAGGATGAAACCCGGAAGAAAGCTGCCTCCACCTATCTGGTGGAAAATTCGGATATGCCACCGCCTCGCTATCAGAAGGACGGTACACTGCCACACCACTATCCGAACAACATCAATGCAGGTGGGTGTCTTGGCTTTTCCCATGCTCGCGGGGCATGCGCACCAATCGTCTGACCGTTGTTACACGTTTTTTGTATTGCAGCTCATACACGAACATTGCCCCATCCACGGCACAACAACGTCGTATACGAGCAGCGAAGCCGTGACGATCAGCTGATAGGCAAGAACAACTACGTGACCGCACCGTCCCCTGGTCCCCCGCTGGATGGGTCCTACTACAACATGAACAGCGATCGCTACCTTTCCTATCCTCCTATGGTAAGTTTATGGTTGGTATACTGGTCAATTGCCAGGGCGAATCCATTATTGGCTCAAGACCAAATGACGAATCGATATGATGCGACCCTCTCAGTGGCGTAGCTAGAAAATTTTACGTAGTTTTGTTAAACTACGGTTAAATAGAAGTTCTGGAACTGCCATTCAATCAACCAGTAGGCGTCAAGGCTGTTTGTTATTTTATTTTTATTTTCCTGTTGGATACATTTGCACTTTGTCTAATAATACGACCTTTTATCATAGAGGTAGCTCTAAAACTAGAAGGTCCCGAAGAAACGTGCTCAACTTTTTGGCGCAGCTCTGGTACTTTCTTCGGTCCCAAGCTAATCGATTCACCCCTCGAAACATAGGAAAATCCACTAACCCCTCATTTTATCTGTCAAACTTTCTTAGCGAAACAAACATTGCGTAGTACTAGAATTTCGACTAGACTGGGGTACGTTAATCGTTTGCTTGGGAACAATAGGATAGTCAAGTAGTGAGTCAATTTAAAATCGTAAGTTTCGTATTGATTGTTGCTTTTATGGCGAAGCTCACGATTATTTTAATGGTGAAACATTAAATTTTATTGTATTTATTTCATGTCAACGCTTCGGGGAGCCTTATACAGTCATTACATAGCAGAATTTCGTAACAATTAGTAGTTTTGTTCCTTATTGAAAAATATTTGACCCGTATTTTTTATTATTTTCTCTTTAGGGTGACCATTTCCATGTTAGGGTGGTCAAAAAAATCGATTTTTTTCTATTTTTTTTCCAAAATGACATTTTTTTTTATATCATAACTTTTGAACCACTGGGCCGATTTGAATGCTCAAAATTTCAAATAAATTTTTTTTTTTAAATACTTTTCAGAAAAATAAAATGAATAAAAATAAAAATTGGAGTTTTGTATAAGAGAACTTTGATTGTATATGTTTTTTTATGGTTTTCATGGTTTGTAGACAATGGGCGTAACACGACATATAAAAAAATCAGCGATGTTTTTGTCTTCGTTTTTGAGTTACGATTTTTTGAAATTATCATGTTTTGAAATTTCACTCATTACTCCAATACGACTAGATTACTCTGCGTCTCCATTGATACATATCGAATGTAACATGGTTACATTACTTACTTATTTCAATTTCTGATCCTAGACTAGAAATTTCTAAACATGATAAGTTGAAAAAATCCCACTTATTTAAATTCTGCGAATTTTAATTTATAACTTTCAAGTTATCAGGCATTGAATATGCCAATGTGCACATATAATAAATACATTTAGGACATAGGAAAAAGTTCTAAAGGTATGTCAATGAACAATTCTAAAACTTCTGAAAGTTAAAATTAAAATAGTTTTGATATCCCAAGCCCAATATTATAAAACCAAAAAAAATGATATCTCTTATACAGATTGAATAAAAGATCGCGAAATTTAATCAATAATTTTTAAACTAAGATAAAATGGCAGATCCTCTCAAGACTGTCATTTCATTAAAATTCTAGTACATGAATATTTAAAATATAAACACAGACAAACAGAAATGACACTCGAAAGTTGTTCATCGAACAAGCATTTAACGGTCAATTTAAAAGTATCGTGGTTGGTAGTGTTGCCACCCGTGGTGCGCATAATCAATTCCCTTGCGTTTGACGTTTACACACTACCGCCATCTGGTCAGCGTACTGCCCACCGTAGTGTACTCAAGTAATGTGGTAATGTTTTTGCGACGATGTTTTACAGTGAGAAATATTCAATGTGTTATGTTGGTTGGTCGGTGCTATAAATATGTCTGAAAAATATTCGACCAAATTTTTTTCAATATAGACAAATATCAAATAATCTCCCGGACTTCAAAATAAAATCGTTATTAAAGATCTTAGGAAACTTACCTAGATTCTGAGACTTAAATCATTTTTCTAGAGAAATTCTTCGGGATAAGAATAACAACAACTTTAAGATTTTAAATCTTCGAAAAATCTTGAATCTCAGTTATGTACGTACCGGATTTCAAATGTCCAGATTCTAATGTTTGATAACAAAAAAAATAAAAAGCATTTATCAGGGGGTAAGTCATTCTGCCACCTTGTGTTAACACCCACAAAAACACACTTCAAACCAGTGATGCAAAATATCATGACTCTCACGTGACACTCGTCTACGCATCAACCGATTATCGCTGACAGAACGTTTTGTCACGCAGTGAGAGGTAGAGCCATGGCAAACAACAATCACCAGTAATGGTCGCTGCTCACAAGCAAAACGTTACACTCGCTGCTGATGATGAAAAGCACAACGAAAACAGTGAAGACCTCTGCAGTACGATTATGAGAAAAAGTGAAACGATAGAAGAAAATGAAAGCAATGCCTACGCATTCCAAGTTTGTCTCGACAGGCGCGACTGTGTGAGTTACAAATAAAGCAGGCAACATGAAACGGAAGCTGTTGGGCTCACTCACCAACACACAGCAATTGCTTCAAAACGAGCACAGATGAGTGTCGTGATTGTCAGGAATGACTAGATCGATGAAGGATCACAACCGAAGACGACATTCACCAGCTGCTTTTTACTTCTTTCGTCAACTTAATGGATTGTCATGGAGAGAGCTTCGACGAGCACATCGATAGGAATGTACAAAGCGTTACTACCATCAGCTGTTTGACGATCGTGATTGTGATAGGTCGCAACTCTGCTTCAAACACCCTTCCGCCACATTGGCGTTGACGGTGACTCTGTAGCTCTTTACTCCTATGAGAAAATCCATAAGCAAACGTCAGACTGTGCATGAAACATGGTGGGCTTTGTACTACCCTTTATCTCCACCGAAATTCCGAAATTACCATAAGAAACAACACAATAGTTGGGTAAAGAAGAACTGCATTATAACACACCATCGACTGGAAATGCTCTCGCAAACGTGGGGCTTTAGGTAGTGATGAAAATGTCGCTAGAACTATTCCACAGCCGCAGTCAGTTTATGAGCAACAGGAGGGACGCACATTTTTGCCTGTGGACTTGGAGACATACTTCAAGTCCCCGCGTACATCGTACGGGCTAGGCAAAAATGTGCGTCATCTTGAAAACTGTCGCTTTAATGGCCCTTCGCTCATTTTCAACTTCTATTCAATTTTCATACTGCCGTACTCTAACGGAACTATCCACCTACCCTCTTCCAAAGATCATTCTCTAGCTAATAAATCATCACACTAAAGCTTCATGTTAGCATTTCCAACCAACTCCATAAGAAACTGTCTATATGTGCTGGAACAGAAAATTTTTCGACGGTGCGGTCAACGCCAATGGATTTTTTTTCTTCCTTTATTTAGGTAGGAGATTTTTAGCCGTAGGCTAGTTCATCTCCGTAAGCTCGTAAGTCCGTAAGCTAAGCAATGGAAAGCTAATTTTTTCATCAATTCTGGCATCACTGCAAATAATGAGAGAGAACCACAGCAGTCGGTTTTTTCGATTGCACAAGACTTCGATGGAGAAAATCACTCGGGATACGGAAGTGACACGTACACCGTATTCCATGACCGGGAATATCCATGACTGGATACGTTCAGGCCTACGAGAGCACATTGATGATGAGGAGGATTAAGGTTGAAAACGATAGCTAGATACTGGTATGTGCTGGTAGTGAGGCAGTTGACAATGCAGCGTTTCGGGATTCGTTGAAATGGATGGATGATCATTGAGTGGTCGTATTGTGGCCACTGTCGTGTGCTGTCTGTTGCTTGTACGTAGTGAAAATGTGAACGTCTCCACCAGGATTATGTTTGACTAAATAAATTACAATTTCAAAAAGTAGAAAGGTCTGTGCCTAGGGGCACGAACGGAAACTTGACGTAGGATTGCTAGTGGACGGAATAAATGTGAAGAGCATTTAGTTCTTTTAATTGATCAATTATCTATTATCTCAACTCTTTCCGTTTTTGAATTGTAGGCGTACCAAATTTGTAGCACAGATAAATTATACTCCAACTCTTTTCTTATGTAAGCTTGATGGCCCTGAAAAGGGCCGTTTTATTGAAGAGGACATCCATGGCCACTTAATCTTGGCGTGTTTAGGGTAGCTGACAGCATCACGGACCTCATTTTTCAGGAACACCTTCAGCACACCTCGTAGATCAGGCCGGAGATACGTTTGACACCCCCACGGCGAGCCAGACGACCGATGGCGGTTATCTCGAAGAACTTTGCGATGAAGCTTGGCGCCTCCTTTACCAGACCTTTTCCTCCTTTGCCATGACCAGTCAATTGTTGCTTGTTGGGTGTGAAAGAGTGGACTAGCCACCACCTTCCTACTGCTGCTATTGCTAGTCACCACGCCGTCCGAAGCGAAAATGAGCTAATGCCATACAGCAGCGCTCTATTTTATCTTTTCAGGTTAAAGCAGAATGATGTGTCACCAAGTGGTATAAAAGCTACAAAGACTCCTCCCATTATGAGTAGTTTGCTATCAAGTAGCGACACTGGCTCTTTTCCTTTTGCGTACACGGCGAATGAGAACGACCCAAATTTGAGTTTAGTTCACTCATAATCGCCAAAAGTGCAGGAACTCAGCGATGAGTAAATTTGTCTCATGGTTTCCTGTGGAAAACCTAAAAAATCTGCCAGAAAATGAGGAAATTGACGAAAATTTTATTCAGTCTCGGTGTAGTACCAATAGACTGAGTGAATCCAATCTTTACTTTTCTCAAATTCGGGAATTTTTCCCTGGAAAATCCTGGAAAAACATGAGGCAAATTTACTCATCGCTGAGTTCCTGTACTTTATTTCTTATTTCTGAGACAACTAAACTCAAATTTGGGTCGTTCTCATTCGCCGTGATATCACCTTGAAAGATATCGGCCACTGGTTAGCGTGATAACCTCTCACCCCAGCAGGCCTGGGTCCAATCTCAGTCGGCGCCACCGGCATGTTCTAAGGCATAACATCTCTGATCACGTCTTCCTTCAGGAAGTAAAGTCGTTGATCCCCGGTTGAGTTGATGGGTCGATAGGTAGGGTCCAGATGTGGGAGCTGCCTCCCTGACGTCGGTAGCATTGGAGCTTAGTACGGAAAACAAATCTCAATAGGTCCTATCTACATTGATCGATTCTCTTCATCGACACTCTCTTTCGTAAATAACTCGGCTTCACAAATGTTTCCTGCCGTCTTCGTCGAATTAGATGCTAGATTGTTGCTTCTTCCATCGAAAATATCCGGCCGTGGCGATTCAAAGTTGATTCCTGTTTGATTACATGAGCATTTTGTGTGATCGTTGGTTCTGAATATGGACAAACAGGCAGATGAATTCTATTCCTACTCTTTACTGTAATAAGCTTGATGGCCCTGAAAAGAGCCGTTTTGCTGCCAAAGTTGGTGATGATTTAACCTCCGAAACCAAACAGAGTGCGACTCTGTCACTTCAAAACATAGATGACATCCATGGCCGCTTACGCTTGGCGTGTTTAGTGTAGGTGACAGCATCACGGATCTCATTTTTCAGGAACACCTTCAGCACACCTCGTAAATTAGACCGGAGATATGTCAGACACCGCCACGGCGTTTGGTTCTGAATATGGCGATGAGTGTGCAAAATATTACGCAATTCCATCCTCCCTATTCGCACGCGCCCGAGGATCGGATGCGAATGCCACTTCAACTTGTTTCGTCTACTTCCTACTCTCTGACGACTGTGCTGGGGAAGCAGCATATATGCATGTAGGTAATTGGTGGATTTGTTAGTTAATTCGACGCTTTTGGACAATGCTGGACATTTACCAGTTTTTCAATAGTTTCTTGTTGAAAATCAACATTCGGAAGCATTGTTATCGATGCGTAGCCATATTTCTGATCGATTGATGATAAAATTATTGAAATTGAACCAGGGGCAGCTGAATTATTAACGTTCAAAATCTTTCTTAATTTGTTACATGTTCCATTTTCGGTTTTCACAAAGTGTACCCCCATATAGAAATCAAAGACGTAGTCCTACGACAAAACTCTTCCGGAGACATTCCTAAGGAAAGACAGAAAAGGCGAAAATTTAAAGCACCTTTAGGAGAAACTCGGATGACGCATCCAGGGGAAGCCAGACAAGTTTCGGAAATCGGATGCAAATTTCATAAGTAATCATTTCCAGGGGAAGCCAAAAAAAGCTTGGAGAAACCTTCCAATAAAAGTCGAAAAAAAAACGTACGAAGAATGGATAATCTTCCAGACGAAATAATCTCCCGGAAGAATGCGATACATAGTTCCGATAGAAATTTACTGGAACTTCTAGAAGTAGACTTCCTGGAGATGCTAGAAGAAACTTCCTAAGTTAGACTTGAAGAAACTTCTGGAGAAAGTTGGAAATCAGAAAGGTTACGGAACAGTCGAAAGAAACTTCAAGGAGAAGTTGGGAAACAAATCCGGAACTTCAGAATATCCCACAATTCCTCGGAACTCCTTGAAAGTTTTACCAAATTTCTTGAAGTTAATGGGGCTGTTTGAAGATCTCTTTTCATACCTGACCTGCTAATGTAACTACCGGAAAATCGCTGATCATCTTTGAAGGTCTCTGAAGTTTTTTGACGATTTCGGAACTTCTTAAGTGTTCTCACAATTTTCTTGAAATTAATCGATCATCAGCATTGAACTTCTCTGATCAACCCGTTTTTTTTTAATTTAAAAAGTTTTCTTAACTGCCATTAAAAAGCACCACCGAACTTTCTGTAAAATGTTCTCACAATTATCCAATGTTCATGAAACTTCCCTTACGTTTCCAAAATTTTCATGAACCTCACGGAATTTTGCTGAAGTTTTCGGAAATTCCCCGAATTTCTCGGAACTCCTTTAAAGTTTCAGCAATTTCCTTGAAATTAATGTATCTGTCCTAATGTTCTCAGAGCTTCCCTAAAGTTCTCTCAGTTCTCCTGGCAACAAATGGAACTCCTGAATTTTTAGGAACTATCCTAAAAGCCATAAAATTTCCCTGAAATTCTTTGGACTTGTGAAGTTTCTGGACTTTTCTGAAATTCCCAGGTTCCCGAATATTAACAGAATTTTATTAAACTGTCGTCAGTTTATGGTAACATACCCTAACAGATTACTCAAAAGTTTGGACTGTTCTGAAGTTTCTGCAGTTTTCCTGAAGCTAATGGAACTGTATTAAAACTCTGGTAGCACCACTGAAGTTCCGCACAACTGGCGTGAGAAGCCAGTAGAAACTTCCAAGGAAAGTTGAAATAACGTTCCAGGAGAAGTCGGAAAATAACTTAGGTAAGGTGGAAGAAAATTGGAACAAAATTTTCAACGAAAAATTTAAATAAACTTCAGGACGTTAAAAAATTGAACATTTTAAAGGACCCATTTGTTCACCGATTAAAAGTATTTCCCGATTTCCAGGAATTACCGGAATGAGCAATCAGCTCCCGGTTCCTGAGTAGGCAACAATGGCAAGGAAATGGAAATAAGTCGAAAGAGTATCCAGCACAAGACATTTTTAAATATGAATATTGTTTAGAGCAGGCTTAAAAAAATATATATATATATATTCAAAAAGATTGAGGTTCACGGCACCGGTGGTGTAGTGGTGAGCGTGATTACCTCTCACCCCAGCAGGCCTGGGTTCAATACCAGTCAGCGCCGCCGGGATGTTCTGAGGCATAACATCTCTGATCACGCCTTCCTTCGGATGGGAAGTAAAGCCGATAACTCGGTATATCTGGCAACGCTGATGCATAAGGAAAAAGTTGAAAATAGAAAGAATAAATACACTGAACGAAAACATCCGCAACACTTCCAATGATTATTGCATTGGTTGAGCCCTTTAATAATATGCTTTCGATTTTCGAATAACTGCCTTATGGTTGAATTCGTTATCAACTGATGAGCATCCACATGACTGGCATCCAAATAAAAGGATGAATTTTATTTGAAAATTACATCAGCGGGGAACAATTTAAGAACAGGATGACTTGCAAATGCTTCAAATGAGATTGATAATTCGATTGTTTGAATTTCCATATTGAATAGCATCAAGGATACATAAATCTTTTGTTGATAGAGGAAACTTCCTCCACCACTAAATAGACAATCTTCGGTTTCCACGCTTCACCAATGTTCGTACCACCTCTGATAGCAATGACTATGTTTCCACCTTTTTTTGTCAGCTCAGATCAGCAAATAACGTTCGATAGAATAATTTAAATCATCGTTTCGGATGATTTGCGTAATGGTACTGAACCAATACTATATGCATTTCAATTTGGGATGAGAATCATTCTACAGAGAGCATTACATATTTCAACTAAGGTCCAATCGCTTCTAGTATCAATGTACATCCTTTATCCGAGTGGAGCATCATCTGATTACAAAACAACCGTCATCCGGTTGCAGCTATCATTCGAAAAAGCGATTTCGATGTTTCGATTTGAATGGTCTGAGGTTTCATTCGAACAGAGGATGGAGTTTTGGTACAGTGTAGTATGGATTGAAATGTTGTGCATGTTGAAAATTTTATGAAAGATTTGGATAAACATGGGATAATCCCAGCCCAGTGGCAGGCGCGTAGGCAACATGTTATACCGTGACAGCGGGCCCAAAACAGCAAAATAAACGATTTGAGCCCGGGACATGCTGCCTACTGTCAAACGCTGCTGATGGTATAGGCCTTGTCACTGGCCTGGATAACCTTGATTATCCTGAAGTGTCGTTCTCCCTGGCTGAACTGTGTTTTTCGCACATTGTGCGGAGTGATCAACCCCTTGGTTTACTCATTAACTGGGCGACTCAATTTTTTTTTTAAATTACGAGTCGATCCGACTCAATTTTAACCTCGATGCAAGTGCAAGTGTCAACGAAAATGCGCATGCTTTGTTTTGACGTTCAAATCCCACTGAATGGTTGATGCAAACGATGGAATTTAAATGCATTTGTTTTTATTAAATGCATATTCAATAGGCATTCTAAAATTGAGACGCCCCTAAGTTAAGACAATTTCTTGATCCGCGTTAAGATGACAACAAATAATCCAAATTATTTTGAAAGTTAGGGTGTCCTAAATTGTTAATTATTACTACCGCCCATAAGGGCAAACTTAAATTTGAAATGGCCTTTTCTGGCAATTGATAGACCTTTTTCTCATAGAACATACATTTCATGGCATCGAAATCATTTTAATTTTCAACATCTTCCAGGACTACCCCCCGATGGAAATGTCCACACCCCCACTGCCGGTGATACCGGCCCTGCCGACCAACACCAATGGTACGCTGCGGAGGGGCACCCGCGCCATGGTTCCCCCGCCGGATGTGACACACCACACGCAGCATACGGTCAAAACGCTGCACGACTCGTCCGCCTCCTCCGGAGGACTGCTCAACATCTCCCAGGTGTCGCAGTCGACGCCAAAGCAACCGCAGGGTATCCTGAAAGACCCCAACAAGCGCAAAGATCAACAGCAGCATCAGCACCAGCACCAGCACCAACACCAGCAGCAGCAGCAGCACCAACAGTCCAACAGCTCCGGACTCCTGCCGGGGGGAATCAATCACCTCAACAGCATCGGCGGTGGCTTGCAGATGCTCGGTGTTCAGAATCCCTCGCCAGTGCCAATGATGGGCGGTCCACCGCCGGGCCTAGTGCCGGTCAGCGCCGGTGGCAGTAGTTTAGGTAACAATTTGCTCATCGGGGCGTACGACCCGAGCAGTACGAACCTGAGCTCGTTCAACGCGTCCCTTGGCTACACGGACGCCGACGGGCACCTAGTGTAGGCAATTCTCCAGCAGATGATAATAATTACTAAATTAGTAGTCTAGGCGCCAAAATTCGACAACACACATTGGAAACAAGAAATTCTAACAACTTAAAGAAGAAGAAACAGCAAGAGAAGGTAAAAGCATAAACGAAACAACAGAGATTTTTAAATACAAACCAATTGATTAGGTCACGCAAAATACTTATGATGAACACACAGACGGGAGGAAAACGACGAAAAAACGGGAAGCGTACAGTAGGATAGTAGAGGGGTGTCACACGAGGGCGGTGTGGATGATAGGAAGTCCGAGAACAGAAACACAAAGAGAATTAAGACAAAGATAATTGTATTAAAACATTAAAACAATCTTTTTAACTTTAAAACAAAACAAAACAAAAAACGTAATGGTAATGTATATTAACAATTTAATTGTTGAGTTTTAAGTGAGTGCATTTGCAAACAAAAGAGGTAGAGAGAAAGCGAGAGAGAAAGAAAGAATGTAACGAATGTTAGGAACAATGTTGACAATGTTACGTTAAATACGGAAGAAGAAGAAGAAGAAAATGGAGTGGCGAAAGTCCTCCTCAGCCTAAGGCGTGTGAGCACGGGTGTGAAACGTAAGTCTTCTCAGTTAAGTTGCTTTTAATTGGTTTAAGTTTTCCTTCTTGCTAGTTTTCATTTATTACAAGTTAGCGATTTACATATAGGATGTGTCTTCATAGACGTATAGTAACTGTTATAGATCCCCTTTGTTTTCCTTTTCTCGATAGTAGCTGCAGCTGTTGAATCGCATTGATGGCGACAGCAAATCGTTGAAGTTGGGTCACGATGGGCTGTAGATGCAGTTTCAGATGGAAGCATTGGCAACATTCTGCTGTCATTCCGGCCGCATGGTTGGGTGGAAAGGTCAGGACGGTTAGAGAGTCTCGTACAAGTACAGGGGGTGGACAAACTAATCGGCACAGGCAAAATTATGTCCAGATTTAAAGTGAATAATAAACAATTTTGAAGTAGGGTAGGTGTTCCAGTAATAGTGAGGTACCTATAGTTTGCGGTAGGGGGTGGAATAATGATGGATAATTTTATTTTTCATTGGTAGCTCTCCTAACATAAAGCAGATTTGCATTCAAAGTGTTTTTACGTTACTTCATAGGCGAAGTTTGCGATTTTCAGAATTGGTTGGAAATGCTATCTAACATGAAGCTTTAGTAAGATAATGTATTAGCTAGAGAATGGGCACACTTCTTTGCCTAACCCGTACAATGTACGCAGAGATTTGAAGTATGTCTACATGCAAATCTACAGGCAAAAAAGTGTGCGCTTGACTTTGCTGTCGCATATAGTATATGAGCAAAGTCAAGCACACACTTTTTTGCCTGTAGATTTGAATATATAGGGAAAATGGCTCTAATGTTGGCCTGCGGATCTAAGATTGGGTCCAATGCTAAAAATCTGCTATCTTTCAATTTCTATCCATTTCCCTTACATCGTTTATTTATTTTTAAATAAATAACTTGTCTTAGCTCCTCCACTTCTGGCTCACCCACACTATATATCGGGGATGAAACTCTATGAACCCACTCACATTCTCGCCCACATGGAGGCTTTATTCCAGAATGTGCTTCTTATTTTTGAACTAAATATTTTGTACTGTCGTGGGTATCCGATCTCGAAGCGTACAACGAAGGATCAGAGCAGGATCTTCTGCGATAGTTGAGCTACATTTACAAGTTTGTTATGCAGATAAAGAAAAAAGGCTTATTATAGGGGTGGTCAGATTCGATCATGCCGCAGATCGTCCAGAATGGAAATATTCACATTTTCCCCTGCGTTTTCCCTCGGATATTCTTGCCAGTCATTGAACTCAATTTATATGGACTTCGATGGGATATCCACAGGGCTTTATAGGGATGTCCATATAATTTTGAATGAAATCCCATTGGGAAGTCAATAGGAATTAACTCCAGACATTTCATCAGACCTGGATCATTGTACAATTGCCTCAGTGCAATAGTATAGAATTTATTGGAACGGAGCATTGCATTTCAAAATACAATTATATTCTATTCTGACATCAGGCACATCCCCGTCACCAGATATGGTTATTTTGAAGACGATGAACTGTAAGGCCTTGCTCAGTACTGATAATTTTAATTGAGGCTTTATTAAAAACTGGCTTGAGGATTATGCTCCTACCTAGGGTGAGACTGAATTCTCACCCGTTCGCTTCACTAACTTGACTGGGACCAGGTAGCAATGCCATCCATCATCAATCGCATTACGCTTTCGTTTCTGTATTCTTTGCAGATCAGCAGTTCAAAGGGACATCGAGCCGGAATCTGGTGGACGGCTTCCGCTTCCTCTTCAACCTCCCGATCCGCAAACGCTTTAATGAGAATGAAGGGAAGCGGAATGCTTGGTCTGATCCATCAGAGAAATTGTGATTGTAAACACAATTAAAAAAAAATAAAAACTCTCGCGTTTGCCAAACTCATGAAACATTGACACATTGATAGGCACACTTTGATTGAAACCTTGATAGGCACGTTCGGCACAGTGCTTGGCACAGCATTCGGCACAGCTCAAGCACTCAGCACGGATTAAGGTTTGCAAAGTTTGAATACTCCTTGCATGGGGAACTCATCTCTGCACATCTCAATCTGTGCGTAGTACTTTATCATGAGTTTGGCAACCCTGCCGTCAGGACTGTTGAGATTTTTTGTTTACAACTTCAAGCTCTCATGGATAATTTATCGAAAAAAGGAAACGAATGCTATTTTTTCCTAAATTTGCTCCCTAATTTCAAAATATGGTTAGGCTATTATCGATCATGTTGATAATGGATGGTGTTGTTGCTGTTGAAATATATTTCTGAACAAGAAACAATTACATTAAAGGGTGATACGGTCAAAATTTGGTCAAGGGAAAACGCGTGTAAATCGGTGAAATCGTTTATTTAAAAAATCAAATTAAATTTCTTTTTCAAGTTCAATTAGTATGAAATTCAGGAAAAATATTCAGTTAGGCTTCCGCTTTTCCAAATCCGAATTGCCGGGCCTTACGCTTGACCCCTGCCATCAGATTTTGTACAGCCACCTTGTCCACCTTCTTCGCCGCAGAAAGCCAGTTTGCCTTGAACTGCTGCTCGCCCTTAGCAGTTTTTTGGTCTTCTTTAGGTTCCGCTTGACAATAGCCCAGTATTTCTCAATTGGGCGGAGCTCTGGCGTGTTGGGAGGGTTCTTGTCCTTGGGAACCACCTGCACGTTGTTGGCGGCGTACCACTCCATGGCCTTTTTACCGTAATGGCAAGATGCCAAATCCGGCCAAAACAGTACGGAACAACCATGTTTCTTCAGGAAAGGCAGCAGACGTTTATTCAAACACTCTTTCACGTAAATTTCTTGGTTGACAGTCCCGGAAGCTATGAAAATACTGCTTTTCAAGCCACAGGTACAGATGGCTTGCCAAACCAGATATTTCTTTGCGAACTTTGACAGTTTCATGTGCTTGAAAACATCTGCTACCTTTCCCCTTCCTTTTGCCGTATAAAACTCCTGTCCCGGAAGCTGCTTGTAGTCGGCTTTGACGTAGGTTTCGTCGTCCATTACCACGCAGTCAAACTTCGTCAGCATCGTCGTGTACAGCCTCCGGGATCGCGCTTTGGCCGTCGTATTTTGTTTATCATCGCGATTTGGAGTCACTACCTTCTTGTAAGTCGATAGTCCGGCTCGTTTTTTGGCTCGATGCACGGTTGTAGACGATACACCCAGCTTATTTGCGGCATCTCGGAGAGAGAGGTTAGGGTTTCGCTTGAAACTACCGGCAACTCTCTTTGTCGTCTCAGTGACTTCCGGTTTTCGATTTCCCCCCGATCCAGACTTCCTGGCTGTCGACAAACGTTCCCCAAACACTTTAATTACATTTGAAACGGTTGATTTGGCAACTTTTAGCGATTTTGCCAACTTTGCGTGCGAGTAGCTCGGATTTTCGCGATGCGCGAGCAAAATTTTGATACGCTGCTCTTCTTGCTTGGACGGCATTTTGACAACTGAAGAGTGAATTCCAAAATCAAAATAGGAGCAACATTCTACACACACACCTTCAAAATGAGGGGTGTTCAGGTTTTTTAAATGCAAAATTCAAAGAAATACGTCAAGTTGATATTGACCAAATTTTGACCGTATCACCCTTTAGAAGCTTTTTTTGATCTTCTATAAATAATGTTTGCAAATTAACTAGGACGTTGCTTGCCAAAAATAAATCTTTTTTCGGCGACTCTATAATTGAAAAGTTTGGTTTTCGATGATGCCTCTAGGGTTCTTGTCTTCAGGGCGTAGTAGAGGAACAGATGTGAGTGGGCAAGATTTTTATCTACCTGAAGATTATAACTATTATAGTTTATGATATTAATACCTCCTTTAAACTTCATTTGCAACGGGGCGGGGTCGGTATCGGTCTAGCCGGGAACATCACACCAACCAGCTTCAGCTTACCGCCGCAATGTTTTGTCTTCTCTGCTAAAGCTGCGATAAAGATGCGTTGCTACAACGCCCTCGGACCGAGCGATGCTGGTCCTCACAGACTCGCACAGCGTCAAACAAGCTCTGAAATCCGAGGCCCCGATTCATCCCTGGGTACTGGGGACGATGAAGTACGCGCTAAAAGGCAACTCTGAAGCTGACTTTCTGGCTGGTGCAGGACCATCTGCCCCTCGCTACACCAACGAAGTACCGTTACACGATGTTAAGCGCTGGATCGTGAGCAAAGTATGGAAAGCTTGGGACGTGGAGTGGGCCCACAACCGCTCTCTCTTCATCAGACGGATCAAAGGGACGACGAGGAAGTGGACAGAACCGTTGAACCAGTGGGATCAGAAGATAGCGTCGCGTTTGAGGCCCGGTCACAGCAATATCTCACACAATTTCGGTGGAACGCCGTTCCACAGGACTTGCGTCGGCTTTAAAACCTCAGCCTCAATCGAGCACATTCCATGCGTATGCCCTCAGTGTCAGAACCTGTAAGAACTCCACGGGCTACCAGCATACGTGACATGATGGGTGATGATCCCTCCACACTGGCATGCGCTTTTGAAAGGATGCTGCATTGTATTTTAAAGTTTAGTCTTTTTAAAATTCCTTTCGGCTGTTGGGACATCTCAGCCTGGTGGGGGCCCTCCCGGTTCCCCGGTATGGAGCTCTGTCTTATTCAGACTTTAATGTTTGTGTTCTTAATATTCTTGATGTGGAGATTTATTTGGCCACAATCCAGCTCCAACTGTTTCCAAAAGTACGCCTAAAAGTTGAGTTTGTATATTATATTTAATATTTTTTCAAACAAGCAGAACTTTTGACAAAACTTACCTCATCACATACCCCTTCCATTTTAAAAACAGCACCAAACTTGGTACATCTCAATAAACCTTTTATAATTCTAGGATTAATCCAAGGGGTAGGTCGCTCCCCACACCAATCTTGGGTCAATATTTTTCTCAGTGTGCCGCAGGTGTGCCGATTATGCTGGCAGTGCCAGTCATAGAGCAAACTGTGATTTTTTTGTAAAATACGAATATTGTGGTATATTTGGAAACCCGGTATTTCTGGCAGCTTTGGTGAATGCTTTGGTTTGGTGGAGATGTCGAATATTGTGCTCGATAAGGATTCGTTCTACCGACAAATAAAACGCCTCTACGCCAACTGGAAGGAACCACCGTAGTACACTCCATTTGCGTAGTAGCTGAAAGACTTGTGTTCGGCATCGATAGCAATCGAACAGCCCTCGGAAGCTTACATTTCAAATTTAAATGTGAATCGAGGAGTGAATTGCTGGCCTAAGTTCCTCTAGTATTTTCAATTAGAGTATGTTTCTGAAATACACAGTTAATTTTGTGAACAGCTTCAATGACAGCTGTCTAGTACTGCTCCCATTTTATGTAATGATTAATCCAATGCCTACGAGATTGTGCCGAAAGTGTGCCGATGAATGTAC